GCAATAACTCAATAATTACTCTGGACAGAGTTATGGTTCTTGTGCACTGCACTTCCTCTTATAGTGCTTGACCATTTTATGAAGTTGTTTTAAATTCTAACCGGTACTTTTCAAGTTATGCTCCGGACAAGGAAAAGTAACAAAGGGCAATAACTCTGTAATTAGTGAAGAGGACAAGGAAAAGAAACAAAGGGCAATAACTCTGTAATTAGTGAAGATAGAGTTATGGTTCTTGTGCATTGCACTTCCTCTCAATGTGATTGACCATTGTATGAAGTTGTATTGAATTCCAACCGATCGACCTCTGGGTGACTCCTATATACCCCCCCCCCCCCGCCCCCAAAAAACAACTTAGTTTCAGGGGTATAAAAACATTGAACTACATTCAACAAATAAACTGATCCGGACACAGAAGTACACTGATATGCGCATGCTTAGCTCATCTCATTTGATAACGTAGTTTTACGATTAAACGAAATAGAATTCTTTGTGATTGCATGGCAACCAGATTTCTGAATGGAATCAAATTCTTTGAACAACTTTGGAAGCCCTTCACTGAAGGAACAATCCTGCCAAGTTTGTTTGAAATCGGACTGACTGTTTTTTTAGAAGATTTTTTAAGTTGACTATAGAATCTATATCATACACACACACACAGACACATACACAGGTTAATCGCTATATGTATATTGCAAATTATTATCAAACAATATAAAATTTAATACATAAGTTTCCAGGTCTATATAAGATAGCACTAGACACCACTTTGTCAGCCTGTTATTATGAAGTTTAATGTTGATACATCATTTATGCCAAATGAAGAACGGAAAAAGGCAATAACAAGAAGAACTGTCGTTGCCACCAAGCAGGGCCTAGTAGATAAACAATGACCTTTGACTTGCATCAAAAAGCATAGCTACTATAAATAGAGTGTTACAAAAATAAAGAAACATTAACAAATACTTTCTCATATTCTCAGTCAGCCCATGAATGAATGAAAGATATCATCAATGTACTATGGGTTCATACAGACATCCAATACAAACACTTTTTAAGCAAGTTTTCCAACTTTTCAAGCACAATTTGTTGCACATAATTATATAATTTGTAACCAATGATAAAGTAACTTTAAAACAGTCATAAAACATCGGAAACTTTATTCTTGACTGCTAAATAACAACATAAATATATGATATTTCAATACATTTGTATATGTATTCATGTATAGTGCAACTAAAATATTCTAGTATGACCAGCAAATTTAATCATTTTTGTTAATCTATTTGTACCCAAACTAGTTCAAATCAACTGCAAGTTGTCTCACTACTGTAACCGTTGAGCAAACATTCAATTGCTTTTGGTATTAATTGGATTGTTATTGTTAACTGTTGATTTTTATAGACTGTGTCATTCAATCCTTTTCAAGCATATTTGCAGCAAATATGAGCACATTTTAAGCACTTTACAAGAGAGTTATCAAATTTAAGGACTTTTAAGAACTTTTTTTTCATTTTTAAGCTCTTCTTTCAAAAAGGGACTCAAATTTAAGCACTTTTTAAGACCGTACGAACTCTGATTCAAGTATAATCTTCACCTTTTGAACTCTTGACCTGACGTTTGCATGTGACAACTTTTCCTCATATGCCAAAGAAGTGTGCCTAGTTATTTTGAAATCCATTCTTTGATGACAGAATGATGACTGGATATAACCATCAATGTACTTTTATGAAACTATAAATGTGAGAAGTCCTAGCATGACTTTGATCTTTAAGCTACAAGTTTATGCCTCAGTCACAAGTAACAAACAGCTGCCTGGAAAAAAAATCACAGCATCTGCCGGCGTTCATCCAGAGCAGTGACTATCAGACAGCAGCAGCTGAAAATTTTGCTCATTGGGTGGGCACCGTAGAGTTTTAAGAACAACTTAAGAGCTAACGTATCCCGAAGATAATAAATTCGTTAAAAGAATCTCCCGGCAACCTTTTCATTCATGACTGTAGAAATTGTTAAACCAGGTTTTATTTGTGAGCTAGGCATTATCACAAATTGTTTTAAAGTACTATACATTTAAGATAAGTTATTACAAATCTGTCACTGAATGACAAAAGACATGAACTGGACATGACTATCATATCGTGACTTTTGACATTCAAGTATGAACTTGACATTTGGGCTGCTGAGCTAAATTGTGTTCATTACCATATCATCTTAATAAGCAGTATATTTAAGCATAATTATTTCAAAGTCCATCTATAAATGTCAAAGATATGCACAAAAGACGACAACCTATTCACATCATGATTGACATACAAGTCTTTTAACCATGCAAAGTTTGAGAAAATTCTAAGCACTAGTCCTTCTTTGCCTTTGTAAATCAAAGCTGTAAAGTGCTGTTAACCGCAAGCTCTAAAATCTTATGTAAATAACTACCGGTAATCAAATAGATAAATGGACGCTTAGCTTACAACATATCATAGGACAGATGGCAAGTATAATTCAAATGAAGGACAACTTGGTTCTAATCAACAAGCATCCTATTTACAGTTAACCGGGGACAGCCATTGTGTTAGAAATTCTAAGGCATATCAAAGGATAATAAAATTATTTCATTACATAAATTGGTTCTTTCTAAAAGGCGAAGTCTTCAAATTAATATCAAATTCAATCAAATGAATACAATAATTTGAAATAATAAAAGCCATTTTTAATTATTTTCAATCTGAACAAAAATGCATTACCAAGAAAGGTTTGGCAGGTAAATTGTCCCCAATGTATGAAAATATTGAGTACAAGAACATGAATGCAAATATTTTTCCTTTCAAAGGATAATGTTTTACAAGCTGTAGCATGTTAAAGCATTCTTCTATCTTATATAAATAATACATCATAGTTGAGTGTATCTAACTGTAGTTGGTGTTATTGACAAATATGATGTAATCATTCTAAGTAATTTCAAAATCCCTTCATTGATGAAAAAGTTATGGACCGGATGCCACAAATACCCTTGAATAGACAATGTTGACCTTTAATACCAAGTGTGACCTTGACCTTAAAAGTAGGGATCTGCGAGTTGCACACAACATGTCATCTTTTTATTGTGAACATTTGTGCTATTTTCAAATCCCTTAATGGATGAGAAAGTTATGAACTGATAACAAAATTTACCCTACATCAGACCATAACAAACTTTGACCTCAGTGTGACCTGACCTTGGAGTCAGGGTGCGGTTGTTGAGCATGAAGCATCGTCTCATTATAACAAACATTCGTACCAATTTAATTAAATAAAAAATTATAAATGACATAGTTATTCATTATACATGAAAGTGTGACGGATGAACTGAAGGACGAACAGAGCCGATTTCTACATCCCCCTTTTTCTTGGACAATAACTCCAAAGGTTGAAAGATTTTTGACCCCAGTGGCATATCTTTATATACCAAATATATAAGAAATCTGAAGTATTTGAAAACTAAAAACCCACAGGCTGAACCAATTTGACCAAAATGTTTCATAATCATACAAATTTTTGAGGACAACATGATGTTACATCAAAATATCTTATCTTGAGTCACTGTGATTTCTGAAGAGGATTTTTTTTCAAGATTTTACTTTTTGAAGTTTATTATTAGCTCCTATGACCTACTTGTGCATCAAACTGGAACCATAAAAAAAAGTTTTGAAGAGGGTAACAAAGGATCGTTCCTGTGATTTGGTCAAAATCCAACAAATAGTTTAGGAGGAGATGTTGTTTAAACTAGAAATGTGTCATCACGCCCATATGCCCCCGTATGCAGCCAAAATTTCAGATGTTATAATACTTTGTTCCAAATTTGTTTGCACAAATTATTTTTTTCATTTTAAGTTCAAAGCCCTTAACACTATTCAATGTTAACACAAACCATTTTTACACAAAGTTCAAGGCACTGAAACTATTCAGTGTTAACCTTTTGTAAATTGCATATTGCATATTTGTAGCTAAAGTAATGACTACATACATTTCCACAAAAGTATGAGTGCTGAAACTGAAATTCAAAATTTTTCCAACATTCAAGAAAGATAACTTTGTCCAAAATCATTGAACCACAACCAAATTCAAACTTGAACTGCTTATTCCTAAACATGTATTTATAAGTCAAATTTGAGTTAAATGTGTACAACCATTGGGGAGATAATGAACAGAAACTTAAAATTTCTGATTTTTTTTCAAAGTTCAAGAGGGATAACGCTGTCAGCTATCATCAAACCATGACCAAATTCGAAATTGACCAATGCATTCTTATGACATATCCATATCTTTAATTTGAGCTGAATATGTACAACTGTTGGGTAGATAATGAATGGGAACTGAAAATTTCCCTTTTTTTCAAAGTTAAAGGAGCATAAGTCTGCAAAAAATCATTAAACCATGACCAAATTCAAACTTGGCCTGCACATTCCTTTGACATATCCATATGACAAGTTTGAGTTGAATGTGTAATACTGTTGGGGAGATAATGAACGGAAACTGAAAATTTCATATTATTTTCAAAGTGAAAGGGGCATAACTCTGCCAAAAATCATTGAACCATGACCAAATTCCAACTTGACCTGTGCATTTCTTTGACGTATCTATATGTCAAGTTTGAGTTGAATGTGTAATACCGTTGGGGAGATAATGAATGGAAACTGAAAATTTCAGATTATTTTCAAAGTAAAATGGGGCATAACTCTGCCAAAAATCGTCGAACCATGACCAAATTCGAACTTGACCAGTATTTTCTCATGACATATCCATATGTCAAGTTTGAGTTGAATGTGTAATACCGTTGGGGAGATAATGAACGGAAACTGATGATGACGGAATGATAGAATGACTAAATGACGGAAGGATGGAATGACGGAACAGGGTAACACTTTATGCCCCAGCCATTATATGGCTGGGGCATAAAAGTGGATTACAATGCATGTCACTCAACAGACATCATACTATCAAAAATGTCACTATCAAGCACTACTTACCATTCACATTGATTACCACAATGGCATTTTGTTCTGTGCTTTGAAAACGTGGTGGCTAAAAATAAAATGAAAAATAAATGATTTCCTGGAGGTCTTCTTACCCAATGCTGATACTAAATGAGAAACCAATCTGAACCATAGGCTTTTCTTTTTAGGACTTAGAAAAAATGACAGATTCAATTTAAGAATTTGATTATTCATAAGATTGAAATGCAATACCTAAAAAGAAATTGAACAATGCCAGGCAGTCCTAAATAATGCTAAAGGTGGTCATATCTATAATAATTTGTGATTTTGTTGGGTGACCCCTTCTGCATTTTAACAACCATTTCACTATGTTTGGAATAACCCTCAGCAATAATTTTTAAAAAAAAAATCACACTAAAATACTCATTCAACACATATAAATCTTCTTTAATCCTGATTTTCATATTCATGTATATCTGCACTTAAATACAGGGGAAGTTTCTTTTTTTTTGTTCAGTGTATTTTCAAAACTGAAATTTAAACAAGAGCACTGCATGTGGTGTCAATGGCCACAACTACATGTACATGTATAAGAAATTAAATTCAAGAATGTTATTTAATGCATCACAAACTGGGGTTTCCATTAGTTTTACTCACCAAGACAATTCATCTGGCATGGGGGGATTGGAGGGGGTGCCAGATGAGACACAAGGGGCATATCTTAATTAGTGGCATGGCAGCGCGTTTTTATAAATAAGTAATACCTGTGAAAAATGATTAGTAGAGTCCTTAAAAATATTCACCATGGACCTCTACACACTTTTCCAGCCACAGAATCCATTCCGAAAAAGTATTTTTGAACTGATCTTTGGGCATACTGTTTATACACTGGTAGAGAGTGCTTCCAACGGCACTACAGGTTTTGAAGTGGCGACCATGAAAGCAAGATTTGATGTATGGATTTAACCAAAAGTCACAAGGAAAGAAGTCAGGACTATAAGGGGGATGTAGCAGAACCTCAATTCTCTGCTCCTCTAAATAAGGTTGAGCCGAGGCTGACCAGTGCGCAGGTGCATTATTATGGACTAATTTGATCCTGCACACCCCAGACCTTGGATTCTTTGTAATGTAGTAATTGATTACAGCAGTGAGAACATGGTCATGGTAAAACGTTCCAGTGACACTACCCCTCTCAGGCACAGGGCCACGGGTCACTATTCAATCACTGTGCATAACTCTACTGCATACTGCATAACGCTCCTGCTATGTCGGGCAACAACTGGGCCATGCTGTTTCCACCTACCCACATTTTGTTACTGAGTTAATTGTTGGGCTCAAATTAAGAGGGACATACTGGCTCTTATATCGCTCAACTGATTATTGAGGCTCTAAATTGATATTGTTAACAATGAATGAAAAGCAGATATAATGCCATAAACTTAATATCTGCACCTGAAATAGTGTAAGTGTAGGATATCGACCAAGTACGAGTTCTTTCTGTTTAGGAAAGACCTGGTCACGAATTTCATGTGACACGCGCTCTCGGTGTCACATGAAATTCGTGACCAGGTCTTTCCTAAACAGAAAGATCGTACGCGCTCTCGGTGTCACATGAAATTCGTGACCAGGTCTTTCCTAAACAGAAAGATCGATGTACGAGGCCGATATCCAACTTAAACACCGTAAAACTATATTGGCTTGAGCAATGGCTGATTCGGAACATTTGATGTAATGCACAAATATTATTTTTAATACAACGCATATACAGGTAAGCTATTATCAACGTTCTGCTTAAATACAATATATATTTTGCTTTTCCCTTTATAATAATAATCAAACAAGAGCCGGTTGAACCAGGTGATGCTCCCCGAATAGGTTTTGAAAACAGGAAGGAATACCTCTTGTAGTGTCAGAGTTATGTCACAGACAAAGTTCAAAGTGTAAAAACAACCCAAATGTTGTGCACGACACATTGTCTCAATATGGTGATCATTTCTGTGAAATAGTTGTAAAATCAGACTTCAAATAAGGAAGTTATGGGCTAGACACGATTTTGCTGCAAGGTCATGCTGTGACCTTGACCTTCAAGGTAGCACCCCAAATGTTGCATGTGACAGGTCGATTCAATATGGTGATCATCCCTGTGAAATAGTGGTTAAATATGACTTCAAGGAACAAAGTTACTGGCTGAACGCGATTTTGCTGCAAGGTCATGCTGTGACCTTGACCTTCAAGATAGCAACCCAAATGTTGCGCGCGACACATCATCTCAATATTGTGATAATTTCTGTAAAATATTTTTAAAATCTGACTTCAAATAACAAAGTTATGGGCCGGACAAGATTTTGCTGCAAGGTCATGCTGTGACCTTGACCTTCAAAGTAGCGACCCAAATGTTGGGCGTGACACGTTGTCTAAATATGGTGATCATTTCTGTGAAATAGTTTTAAAATCCGACTTCAAATAACGAAGTTATGGGCTGGACATGATTTTGCTGCAAGGTCATGCTGTGACCTTGACCTTCCAAGTAGAGACCCAAATGTTGTGTGCGACACGAAGTCTTAATATGGTGATAAGTTCTGTGAAATAGTTTTAAAATCTGACTTCAAATAATGAAGTTATGGGCTGGACAGGATTTTGCTGCAAGGTCATGCTGTGACCTTGACCTTCAAGGTAGCGACCCAAATGTTGGGCGCGACACGTCGTCTCAATATGGTGATCATTTCTGTGAAATAGTTTTAAAATCCGACTTCAAATAAAGAAGTTATGGACCGGACACGATTTTGATGCAAGGTCATGCTGTGACCTTGACCTTCAAGGTAGCGACCCAAATGTTGCGCGGGACACGTCGTCTCAATATGGTGATCATTTCTGTGAAATAGTTTTAAAATCCGACTTCAAATAAAGAAGTTATGGACCGGACAAGATTTTGATGCAAGGTCATGCTGTGACCTTGACCTTCAAGGTAGCGACCCAAATGTTGCGCGCGACACGTCATCTCAATATGGTGATCATTTCTGTGAAATAGTTTTAAAATCATACTTTAAATAAAGAAGTTATGGACCGGACAAGATTTTGATGCAAGGTCATGCTGTGACCTTGACCTTCAAGGTAGCAACCAAATGTTGCGCGCTACACGTCGTCTCAATATGGTGATCATTTCTGTGAAATAGTTTTAAAATCCGACTTCAAATAAAGAAGTTATGGACCGGACACGATTTTGATGCAAGGTCATGCTGTGACCTTGACCTTCAAGGTAGCGACCCAAATGTTGCGCGCGATACGTCGTCTCAATATGGTGATCATTTCTGTGAAATAGTTTTAAAATCTGACTTCAAATAACTAAGTTATGTGCCGGACACTAATTGGGACATACGGACGGACGTATGACTGACTGACGGACGGACAACCCGACGACTATATGCTCCCCCGAAATTTTTCGGGGAGCATAAAAAGCTAAATGTGCAATTTGTCAATAATAAAGTAAATAGGTCTGTATTCGAAAGTATGTTGAAGTACGAATAATTTTTTTGATAGAATTTTGTATCAGACAATGCAGATTCTAGGACATTTGTCCCCGGACAGTTGCCCCCCGGATGTTTGCATTCTTTTTTTATTGTTGTGACTTGTCATCTCGTGTATAGATTTTTGTATGTCAATGGAAACATAATAGTTAATTTATTTATGGGTGCTATTTTGACTTTCACAAATTTGCACGAAATTTTGTGTATTTAAGCACAATGAAATTTCCACAATAGGCGATGAATTTTGGTAGCTATCATTATTCAACAATTAAATAATTTATCATTTTTAAAACAGGGAAGGGGGGGGGGGCAAATGTCCGTCCCTTCCAAAGATATGAGGGGCAAATAACCGCAACTGGAAAAAAGGGGCAAATTTCCGAGGGGGCAATTGTCCGAAGGGCAATGTCCAGATACCCAACAGACCACGAAAGACTTACATATGTATATTGTTGGCAATTATAATATACATGAACCAAAACTATATTTTATATAGCAGATTATAAAGTGTTCTAGAATAAAATATGATCTTTCATCATAAATTTTTATACTAAATCACTTATAACTTTATTTACATTTTAAAATCGTAATAATTATGCTGTGATTACTGCTATATAGTTTCATAGATATGAACTTGAAACGTCCATTTTGTTATATTGTGAACTTAATGATAAAAGAACCACTTAGATTACTATTTCTTTGAAAAATGACGCAATTAAATAAATGTTAAATGTGTCCAAACTTTGATATGATATCCATTATTTTTATTCAAAGATTTGATATAGGGATGCAGGAATAATTGCTTAGTGCATTCAATTAACATTATCTTGTTTAAAATATGTATCCAGATTTTGTAAGACAGGAACATTATGACAATCATTTACATTTTATTTCAATTTTTAATTTTTGATTGCATCTCATGTTTTTTTTGTCTGTGCTTTGGCAGGTCATTTTTTTCACGTGTATTTCATGACCAGGTTTGTCTGACTAGAACAGACCTGTGCACATGCAAAAGATAGACCTAATAACGGACTTTCTTTTGTTTAAGCAGGTCTATACGAAAAAAAAAAACCTGTCACAAACAATAGAGGAGGTGTGTTAATGTTAATAAGATCTTTTCATATATGCCTTTTTACTTAATAATATGTACATGACCCCAGGGGTGGGGCCAATTATGACCAAATGATTATAATTTGAACAATCTTAGTAGAGATCCACTACATAATGTTTCATGCCAAATATCTACCCTCTAGCCTTTGTCAATTCAGAGGAGATGATTTTTAAAATTTTTACTACATATCCTGTTTTCTCGTATTCTCGGGGGGTTAAGGACTAAAGTTGGTTGCATCATATTTATAAAACATTTTGTAACAGTATTTTTAGCCTGATACACAGAGAAATACCTTATTAACAAAATACAAAGAAAGAAAGATCGTAAATGTAAGCAAAACAAAAGATATTTCTGCTTGTATATACTGACCTTCACCCTCTGAGTGAAGCAGGTGCTTTCTCGTATTCTCGTGGAATTTGATTGGTTGTTAAGGCTGGTCGCTATGTGATGATTTTA